AACGAGCCTCCCCCCCCCCCCTCCCCAAGTACGCACAGCACGATAAAAGCAATTATAGCCTCCCTGCCTGCGGCACACTGATGTGATGTCATGTTCAAACAGCACACGAGATGGATGGATGGATGGATGGATAGAAATGTCAAGGGTCCTAGAGAGCGAGGGATCTACCTACCTCTCCCCTACCCCCCTCGAGTCGAGTCGAGTCGAGTGAGCGGACCTCACTCATACACAACACGGCCGACAAAAACAAAAAAGATATGAATGGATAGACACGAGCAAAACAGACAGACACACGAGCCGCGCCCACGACCACGGCACACGCACGCGACCGACACCCTCTTGGTCTCTACGTACCTCCCTCCTTCGCTGATTGTCGGATCAGAAGCATCAGGTCATGCCAGCAGGCAGCCAGGCAGACAGGCAGGCGGACAGAGAAACAAGAGAAACAGACACAGAGAGAGAGACGACAGATTGAGAGGTATGCACCGACGGAAGTATGTATCCACAAGGCGAGCCAGGAAGGCAGGCAGGCAGACGGACATGCATCATATAGCACATGACACACACACACACACACACACACACAGACGGAGACAACGCAGCACATCCCTCTTGGTGACAAATAGACAAAGGCGAGCAACCGCGCACGCACAACAGAGAACAAAACGTAATGGGGAACGGGACTGACGTAATGGGGAACGGGACTGACGTAATGGGGAACGGGACTGAAAAGGGAGAAAGAAAATCGTAGGCAACAAAGCAAGAACCGCCCCTTCAGGGCCCATCCACCAAACATTGGTCAATCTGTCATTGAGGAAAATGCGCCGTATTCTTGACGTGTCGCGGCGCTCATGAAAAGCGTGTATGCACGTATGTAGCGCATGTGTAAGTGAAGACGTCACATGAAAATCCATGCAGCCGATGCACTGACTACCGTGGCCAAAAATGATCCGTAAGTGAGCGGCCGCTCTGTCGGCATATACATCCACATCATCATATTTATAGGTATAGACAGGCCACATGTGTGTGGGCAGAAAGAGAAAATGGTGTCTCCATATATCGTTGCCACCGGGTATGCGGCCAAAAGCAACGGAGACGGTCGCACGGCATAACACACGTACATGCAGGCGCACACGGGGAGGGGAGAGGAGAGGGAGGGGCATCGAGACACACAGGCAGGCAGGCAGGCAGGCAGGCACACGTACAGACGTGCAGGCAGGCAGGTGGAATAGGACAAATAGTAGTCAGACAGGCTAGACAGAATGGCAGCTGAAGTATCGACTGAGGGTGCCAAGACAAGACAAGACAAGACAAGACAAGAGGAGAAGAAGAGAGTGGTCCATCGACTTTTCCTGCGTCTGCTCATCCGCACAGCTCTGTACCCACACACAGATACATACGTACACAGGTCGATCGGATCGTCGATTCATGAACAACAAGAGAGAGAGGGAGAGACGGTGAGACGGACATACAGACGTGTCCGTCCATCCGTTAAAAATAGGCGAGAGCGCGCGCGGAGAAGCGAGCAGGCAGGCAGAGCGTTATCATATGCCATCTCAGCAGAGAGGTGTACTATGTACGTACGTATGTATATACGTATGTATGTACGTGTGTATGTACGCGTGACATTGTACGCAAGCAAACAACACCAGAGAAATATGCAGAGAGACGACAGAAGAGAATAGAGGTGCCAAGTAGGAACGAACGAAGGGACATATAGCGATCTGAGTCGGTCGGCTTATACACACACAGGACGGACATATGGGAGGCAGGCAGGCAGGCAGACAGGCAGCTGTCGGCTTTTGTTCCCACACACACACAACACATTACTTAGCACGAAGTTCAAAAGGCACCACACACACAGGCTCTCTCTGTTTCTCACGCATTGCGATGTATGTAAGTATGCACGCCCACACGCTGCAGCCAAGTTCCGTCTCCCAAACATCCCATCCTCTCCCCTCCCCTCCCCTCTCTCTCTCTCACGTGCACATGGGGGTCTACTACGCGCGTGTCAGCGCCGCAGGCCCTTGAAGCAAAATCGTAGTCTTCACAAGCATCATCATTGAGACATCACCAAAGCGAGCTATGTCATGCAGTGCAATGCAATGCAATGCGATGTCATATAATGAATGTATGTGCTGACAGACACGGGTATACACGCATGTGTGTACGTGTGTACGTATGTACGTACGTACGTACGCGCACGTGACAATGACATTGACCGATCGATGCATGCAGATAAACATGAACGAGAGAGACACCACGCCACCCACACCCAAAAGAGTCACCACACACGGATCTAGAACACACACAACACACACAACACACAGATCAGCAGCAAGTAGGAGGTAGTGAAGTGTAGTGGCATGTCCTGCTCTGTAGAGCAGCAAGGGATGTCATGGCCACCCCTCCAGTGAGTGCTGGTCTCATCCCTGTCCCCCCTCCCCCCTCCCTCACCCGCCGTGTGTGGCGCTCTTTTCCTCTCCTCTCCTTTCCTTCCCTCTTGCTCAGTTGAGGCCGTCAGCGGTCGACGATCGAGTAAGTGATATGAGCGCTACCTCTCAACACGGAGGATACACACCGTGCGACACGACCGTGTCCATCCATCCATCCATCCATGAGTCGGGCTCTCTCCCTCGATGAGACACACACACGTCGCCTGATGGCCAGCCGGACACACAGATAGAAGCAAAGATGAAGATGAACACACGGCTATGTACTCCTTCCTCCCTCCCTCCCTGGTGCATGGATGCGCTTCGACATGGAACATGAAAAGGTGAGTCACGAAGTAGAATCAGGCCAGGCAGGCACCTGTCGGTCTGTGTGTCGAGCAGTAAGTGAGTGTAATGTCCGCACACACGCACACAGGCGCACTCATACAGAAACACTGCTCTCTCATCGTCTTCCCCGGCAGTTCTCGCTCTCTCTCTGTCTCTCCGTTGCACGCTCTCAGCAGGAAGAAAAGTATCTTAAATCAGCACATGGATGATGAGCATGTATGTATCACGATCGATCACCTTCGTTGGACGTAAATCAAACACTACATCCACGTATCCCCGTTCACCTCACCTGTGTGTATCATATGCTCTGGGTAGCATAGCGTAGCACACACAGGCCTCCTCGACACACAGGCGCACACGTAGACAGACAGACAGACAGACAGACAGGCGCGCCACACCGTGCCCCATCGTTCGTCCCTCGTTGCTGCAAAAAACGATTATCAAGTGTTGCTCGTTCGTTGGTCGGCCGAGCAAGTGCGGGGGAATGAGCGGACCAATCCATGGATCATGCATCCGTCAACGCATACACACACGGTGGGTGCGTGGGTGCGTGTGCGTGCATTGCACGTGTGGTCGATCGTCTGTACGTGCGTATGAAAGAGACACCACCGGTCGACACGTGTGTCGACGTGCGGTGCGGACTACAAATGGACGGACAGCATCTCGTGTGTGATACGATACACCCTCACAGACAGACAGACAGACAGGCAGGCGGGCGGACAGAAATACACAGACCCACCCCTACAAAGTGCTGTGTGTGCTGAATAAACGAATGATGAATGTGACCGCCCTCCCCTCGCACACGAACGGTACTGAAGCCAATGTATGTGTATATGCAATGGGTGGTATGGATGCATGTGGTATTAAACGCGGGCGAGAAAACTCAGACTGAGTGGCAGGTAAGGCAAAGGCAGGGAAGCTAGACAGAGAGAGGGATAGGGGCATTGGAGGGTACAGACAGCCCTCCGTACGCTACTTCAGCACACACACACAGACACGCGCGCACACACACACACACACACAGAGAGAGAGAGAGCGGGGCTGGTGCGATGAATGAATGAAATGGCGTGCGATGAAATCGATGGGGTGTGTGTGTGTGAGAGCGAGTGTGTGGATCCGTGTCTGCATTCATGGCGGTATATACATACAAATATACGCAGAAAGCAATAGCCCGGCCCCCCACATGCATGGCATGCTGGATAGATATAGATAGTGTGCGAAGGTCATCACAACTCGGTATAGATAGCCTAGCACCCCTGCTCCCCATCCCTACCCCCTAGTCGTCATAGGATGTCGGCTGATGCCTCAGCAGCTCCTCTGCGCACAGACGAACCACACACAAGCATTGACTCCATCCTCCAACCCTCCCTCTCTTTATGACATACCGTGTGACGTCTGTGAGGCAAACAACATGAAGTTGATCGGCGGTGCCGCATAGGTCACAGACGAGCATGCACTCAGGCTGGCCGAGTGCTGCCGCCGCACTTCACCTACCCCCTCGTCCGTGCTGTCGGTGTGGGTCGGACTCCCGCCCGCGCAGCACATGCCGCCGCTGCCCCCGCCCTGCTGGTACTGGTCACCCTTGCTCATCTGCTGCACGTGTGACACGGTGAGGGGGGGCGAGGGGCATGTGTGTGTGGCGTAGGGGAGGAGGGGGAGCGGGTAGAGCGATTGGGGAGGGCTGGGGGGCGCCGCGCCCATCATGTAAAACGGCACATACGGCTGCAGAAACGAGGCAGAAACACGAGCAGGACATCTGATGGATGAATGGATGGATGGATGGATGGACGTCTCACACACCTGTGTGACAGGGAACGGCGGCAGTGGCGGCACCTGTGTCTGATGCTGCTGATGATGATACTGCTGCTCCCCGTCGTACCCATAGCCGCCATCACAGCCGCCGCCGCTCGCACTGTTGTTGTGTATGTGCGGCGACACCATGCCCGTGAGGGTGAACTCGCACCTCTCCCCCTCCAGCCCGTCGATGCTCTCATCCACAGACGGCACCCGCGTGCTGTGCGAACACGGCGACACGTCGGTGCTGCTGCTGGTGCTGCTGCTGGTGCTCATCATCTGCCCGCCGCCGCCAGTGGCTGTAGGTGCAGGTGACGGTGGGGGTGCGAGGGGCATGAGGTCGGTCTGCTGCGATGGAGAGGGGGAGGAGGGGGGTATGGGGCTGGGCTGTGGTGAGCCGTCGTGCTCGTCGCTCGTGGATTCCTCGGAGGATGATTTCTTGAGCAGCGGGCGGCGACGCAGCTCCTCGGCACCGTGAGCAAACCGGCACTTGTCGCCCATGGGGCAATCGCCTGCGAGGGAAGGACACGACAGGACACCACAGCCGACACAATGCAGCAATTGTTGCAGCGATTCTGTGTCTGTGTCTGTGTCTGTGTCTGTGTGTTTCTCACCTCTTTTCCACCTGGGGCAGATGGACGTCTTGAAGAATTCGACGGTCTGAAGGGTTACAGACCAAGTAAATAACGGTGCCTGGGGTGCGTGTGGGTCTCCATCCTCGCTCGCTGGTTCAGGCGTAAGTACGTACCGATCTGAGATCCGATTCGGTGTGTGCATAGCGACAGGTATCTCCGTTGGGGCAGCTGCCCGTCGTCACGAACGTCTCGCATAACCTGAAGGAATGCACACACAGACGCAGACACAGACACAGACACAGACACAGACACAGACACAGATTGAGTGATCGATTCCTCGATTGGGCCGCCGGCCCGTGTTGGCCACGGTAGCTACCGTGTGCGTGCTAGGTCCGGCAGCGCCCTCAGGTCGCTTTCGTCGTGTGCGAACGTGCAGTTGGTCGCCTTCTTGCAACGACCGGCAAGGTGCAGCTGACACATCTTGGTGCGATAAAACCTCTAAATGAGGAAACAAACACCCACACACAAGAGAGAGAGATACCAGAGATGAGCGCGAGATGAGTGAGCGATCCCTCTCTCTCTTTCGTGCGCCTGGCTTGTTTGCTTCTCTTTGTGCGGATGTATTCACCTGCTGCAAGGAGGCAGGCACCTGCAAAAGACAACACACATACAAGCACACAGACACACCAAGGCAAAGCAAAACAGCGATTGAGTCGGTTGTTTCATCCATCGGTCGGTCTTTGGCGCATCACTGCAGCCAACCACCGGTTGTGCTCCCCCTGATGTGTAATTGTTGTGCGGGCTCACCCACCTTGCATCGCTTCGGATCATTCTCTGCGTCTACGCTCCCGCCACTCGCTGACGGCGGATCTACCGGCATCACGGCCGCCATCTCGCCTACAGCTCTGATCTCTTTGGTCCTTGTATCGCTTCGGAAGGCTCCTCGGTAAGTCGTTCGATCATGCTCGAAGTTGACCAACTTTGCCTCAGCTTCGAATGTGGTAAACGGACCAGTAGCAGGGTTTCGGGTTTCAGGGTTTGTAAATGGGATAGGGCAGGGACAGGACAGGAACTGTGGAGCGACACGTCATTCCAGTGAGTCATCCAATCTGTCTCGTGACCAAGCTCTTCTCCGTTGATTTGATCTCTTTGCCGCAAGTGATTGTTTTCAGCGCGTCAGCAATGCGTTCGCTCACTTCCCTCGTCATGCTGCTGATGCTCGCCTGTGCGGCGAGCGGCTTCCTGCTCGTCCCGCCCCACCTCCGGGCCATGGACGTGATGGCTCACCGCGCACAGCCCGACACGCGCATGTCCCTCTTCCGGCGACGCCTGGGAGGCATGATGGACCCCTTCGAAGAGCTTTACGTGAGCATATGAGCGGTGACACGACAGACGTCTGGTGTGTGTCTACATGCTTCTCTGCTGTGTGCGTGTGCGTGTGTCTGTGTGTCTCTGTGTGTGTCAGCGGCTGACCGACGAGATGAACAGGCTCCTGCCTCGTGTGAGCGGGTCCTTCGAGATGTCCACCTCGATGGGAGGCTTCTCGCCACGCCTCGACGTCAAGGAGGAACCTGACGCATTCGTCATCACGGTAAGTAAGACAGGCACGCACACCCCTCCCCTCCCCTCCGCACACAACTCACTCGCTCACGAGTATTTATCCATCTCCACACATGCCTGCCTCTTCATGTCGTGTGTCTGTGTCAGTGCGAGCTGGCGGGCATCCCGAAGGAGAACATCAACGTGTCGGTGCGCGATAACATCATGACCATCAGCGGTGAGAAGAAGGAGGAGCGCACCGAGGGCACCCCGCCCGGCGAGGCGCCCAAGGAGGGCGAGGAGGCCAAGGAGGGCGAGGAGGCCAAGACGGGCGGCTACTTCATGCAGGAGAGGACTTACGGCAGGTTCCAGAGACGATTCACCCTGCCTGAGTAAGTGACCCGCAGCCCACAGCACACACACGCGGTATGGGCATGCACTCACGCCCTGGTTGTGCAGGGATGTGGACGAGAGCAAGATCGCTGCCAAGATGGCTGACGGGGTCCTGACCATCACCGCTCCCAAGATGGTCAAGACGCCCGAGGAGACCGGCAGGTCCATCAGCATCGAAGAATGAACTAGCCGAGAGTAGCGAGGGTGTGAGAGGGGGAGGCATCGGGGGGGAGGTGATGATGCTTAGGTAGCTGCCTTTTGTAGGTGCGTCGTCGGCGTGTATGAGAGTGTGCGATTGCCCGTTCCATCAGCTCGACGGGAGAACGTTCCGTGCCTAACAGCGTGGAACGTTCTCTTGGTGAGCTGGTGTACCGGCCAAGCACACACTCATACACGAGGCCAGACAGACAGAGAAAAACTCGGCTTTTTCACTGGTGGCTGATTGATGGGGGCGGCCCCGTTTGTGTGCTGTGCGTGGTATGGTATGTATACCTATTTCTGTATGTACATCAGCCCTCTCTTGTCCATCTATCTCTATCGACGCCCTCACTACTGACTGCTTGTCACCGAGCGCAGTTTTCCCCTGGTTTGCATCCGTGCGTGTCGTCTGTGAGAGAGAGTGTGTGTGTTCGTGCCGAGGGGCTGCCCCATTTTCCCGACTGCGGCCGTGAGGGCGCGCGCCTTTTTTCCGTCTGTATCCCTTCATGTGTAAGTTTTTGGTGTCGGTTGTGTGGTCTGTGTGGTCGGGAGGGAACGACGCGGCTGAGGGCGTACATACCTCTTTTTCATCGTGGCGCGGAGAGAGGATGAATAGCGAAGCTATGAGGGGGTGTGTGTGTTGTCTGTTGCCATGCGCTGTGGGCATCTGTCCCGTCTTGCTGCGAGCCGGAGCTGTCACCCGAGTGGCACAGGGCCTTTGAGTCGACTGTGACGTGTTCGGGTGGGAGTGCTGTGTGCGAGCAAGACGGGAGGGACAAAACAGGCGTAGAGGGCAGACAGGCAGGAAGCAGTTAGCGAGCCTATCGAGGAACCGAAGATGAGAGTGGGGGAGCGATGGGTGGACCCTTCATCTGGTAGCTTGGCTGCTGTGTCTGTCATGCATTAGAGATTTATTTGTGGTCGTCAACTCGCGAGTGTGGACTGGGTCGGCTGGGGGACTGAGCATGAAGTCAAAGATGGTGCATGCGATGGAGTCACTGTACCCACACACGTCCACGCACACACCTAATGCTGCCTACATCACCAGATCGTCTTCAATGAGAGCCCGTCAGTCTACAAGGGCCCTTGTCGAGTCACTATGCCCGTCATTGCCGCCTCCCTCCTGTCCACCCTCGCCCATACCCTCGGTCACACCCTCCCGCGACCCCCTTGGCCGCCTGCGACGGGCAGACTCTCCCTGCGCACATAACACGACCACACAAGGACATTGACATGAGAGCGGTGGGTGCATCCTACCTCGTCTGCCGTGGTGGCTGTGGTGGTTGGGGTGAATTCGGGGTTGGTCCAGTCGAGCTCGGGGCACTCGAAGTGGTTGTCGAAGTCTACGATGTCCACATACCTGCAGACGACCATCGACACGCAACACATACATACGATGGGTCGGGCAGGCATTCAGACGGATGGTTGTGCGTTTGTATTGTACCTCTCGCTGGAAATGTATTCTCCGGCCGAGTCGATGACGTCTTCACCGATGTGCACGCGGCTGGCAGACACCGATGACCAATCGCCACGGCTGCCCGCGTAGCACTGCAGCCAGAGAGGCAAGCCAACAGACACACAGGCGCGGATGGCATTCTGAGAAGATGTCTGTCTGTCTGTCTGCAAGTCCGTCTTACTTTGAGAGCGGGCTGTCCCTCCGGCACCTTCTCTGCATCAAGCTGCAGCCACCCCAGCATACACACAGCACCATACCATACAGGTGCCTGCCTGGCTGCATTCTTTCATCAGTCACTCACTGACCATAAACACGGCTGCGAAATTGCAGTTGGCCGTGAGCCTGTCGGCGATGGCCTTGCTCACGACGTTCATGGTCGTGGTGGCGTCGGCATTCGCCTGGTAGTACCCACACAGCGTCACGCCCTCCTGCTTGCAGTACTGCTCTATCTGCCACACACACACACACACACACACAGAGGATTCCCGACATACATCCTGTGTCGCCTGTGCGCTTGTTTGGTGCTTGCTCCTGACCAGTGAGAAGGCCACTTTGAGCAATGGCGGTAGGATGGAGGTGTGAAAGAGGGGAAATGCATCGGTGTAGGTGACCTCCCCGCCCTTGCCTTCGCTCCTGCCCACGAGCACCCCGCCCACAGTGCTGCACGAGTACTTGCTGGCGTGGGAGAGGATCTTGCTGTACGCTGCACTGCTGAACCGATAGCTTCGCTCAGGCATTGATGCAGATGATGTGCAGATGTCCAAGAAGCAGAGATCTCGGGACAGAGATCTCGGAACTTCTGTCTGTCAGACGGTCCTATGCTGCTCAGGAGGTGGAGTGGAGTCGTCCAACAGCACCTCAAATGCCCTTTTTGTCGAGGCGAGCTAAGCTTGCAGATCTTTGCCTTCCTTCCCCGACGAACAAGGCATGGTAATCGGAGCAGCCGTGCCCCTGGAGCCAGGCAGGACGCGGAGGATCTTTGTCTGTGGCGGAACAGGTCAAAAAGAAAGAGGCGCCGTTGATCTCACTGCGTCACTTCCTTCTGCTGTTATTTTGCAGGCAGCCAGGGCGGTGGTGCCATCTCGCTGCTGCTCAGACACAAGAACACCGTCGTGCGGACGCTCACACGCAACGCAAAGGTTGGCGGCGCGCACACACACACAGAGGGAGAGAGGGAGGTGCAATTGCACATTTGCAAAGCCCTGTTGTTGTATATGTGTGTGTGTGCAGAGCAATGCTGCCCTGCAGTTGATGAGCAGAGGGGTGGAGGTGATCGAAGGCGACCTCAAGGATGGTGAGATCCGGCGAGCCTCTCGGTGTGTTAGTGAGTCGTGTGTGTGCGTGTGTGCGCAGAGAAGCCGGTGTGCGAGGCTTTGAGTGGGTGCGAGGGGTGCTTTGCCTCCACATACTCTGACCATGACGGCACCGAGGGCCAGTGCGGCCGCAACCTCTGTGCTGCCATCATCAAAAACCAGGTCAGGCAATGACAAACAGCCACCAGAAGGCGCACACAGCTAACGATGTCGCCATGATTCATTCGTTCGTGCAGGTGTCGCTTGTGGTGTTCTCGGGTGGCGAGCGGATAAACGTCGAGGGCATGGACAACAAGGTGTGCCACCCATCCATCCATCCACAGTGATGCCCTCTCCTCTCGCCGTCTGTCTGTGTCATTGTGGGTGGGTGGGTGGGTGGGTGTCACTGCCAGGCTGAAATAGAGGACCTGTGGAAGCGGATGATAGCCGAGGCGCGCAAGGAGAAGGGCAAGGGGTGGGTGCAGCCGCGGATCGTCTTCCTCCACTCGGCATTCTTCATGGAGAACGTCGTCGCGAAACGGGGAACCAAAAGGGTCAAAGTCGACCAGTAAGCTTGCTTACACAGGAGGCCGGACAGGACACCGACAAGACAAGTGGCTGGAAGGTCATTCGTCCTTCCCTTCTTGCTGCTGCTGCTGCTGTGTGTGTGTGTGTGTGTAGCGACCGTCGTCACTATGAGTTCAGTGTGCCGCTAAAGCAGCACATGAGGGTCCCCATGATCGGCGGAGACGACATCGGCAAAGTGGCCGCAGGTATTTATGGCTCACAGACACAGACACCCAGCCGGCCCAGCCACCTTTCTTCCCTCCTGCTCTTCCTCGTGCGTCAGCGATCCTTGCGGACCCGGAGAGGAGTCTCCATGACACCGACAAAATCCCTTTCCCAAGTGTACGTGACCTCCCCTGACACCACACCACACTATGGTGGCAGGCTGCATCTCCCTCTTTATCTCTCCCGTGTGTGGGAAATGTCGATCGATCAGATGTGGGAGATCAAGATCGCAGGCGACGCAGTGACCCCCCAGCAGTTCGTCGACACCTTCCTCAGACTCAAAAACAGAAACAGATCCGAGCAAGACAAAGTGAGCGGCGACCCACCCATCCATCCATCCATCCATCCACACGCTCACTCTTGACACTCCTCTCTCTGTTGCGTTGCAGGTGACAGGCGAGTACAGGGAGTTTTCGCTGCAGTTTTTCCGCAGTCTGCCGATCCCCGGTGCGCGTCTGATCGTTGGCATGTACGAGTGGTACCACCGAGGTTGCCCCGGCCACGAACGGGACCCCGAGAGGTGCCGGCAACGATTCCCAATGCTCCGCTCTCTCGAGCAGTGGATGATTGGTACGCAGGCAGGCAGGCAGACTGACAGACACGCACAGGGCGGGCGGTCATGATGTGTTGTGTGGTGCAGATGAGGGTTTGGCGCTGATTGAGGCGAATGCGTATGAGGACACGGTGTGGCACCGGCTGGAGCAGGCTGCTCAGAGCCTGCTCATCCAGCTGTATGGCCTCTGGATGTCTGTCAACTGTTTTGGCGGCGGAAAGTGAAATGATGGGCTAGATAGATAGATGGGGGCAAATCGGTTGTTTGTGTGTAATGATGTACTAGGTACTTTCTTTCTGTAGTTTTTGCGTCCGTCGGTGTCGTTCCTCTTTATGAGCGAGGCTGTAATTTTGGTTGGCTGGTTGGTTGGGCGGGTGGGTGTCCAGAAATCATTTTGTGTGTGCAGCAGCTGACGTAATTCGGCACAGCCAAACAGACATCCGTATGTGTGTGTGTGTGTGTTGGTACTTGACCGTGAATCAAAGCATGTAATTAGAATGAAGGTGTCCTGTCAGACACGGGGAGCCGTGGGCAAATACCAGAGGGATTCGTTCAATCACATACGGTCATCATGGGTTCAATTCCTCCAGTGGACCCATGCTGCAAGTTTCGGGGGGAAGTCTAGACTAGCTACCCTAAGGATCTCACTGGACTGTCTGCAAAACGGATCTCACTGGGCGCGCCGCGAGGACCAGCCGAGGAGCGGCACTAGGATGCGTAGGGTAGCTGCCGTGAAACCGTGCAAAGGCTGAGGACACAGAGGCGTGCGATCGGTCGATCGGAGTGTGATCGTGCGTGGCCAGTGTACATGAATCGGACTCGCAAAAGACTCGGGAGGAGGGGGGCAAGGTGCGCGTTAAGGCAACCACCACCACCACCACATACACTGCGAGCTCGGCTGTATGGATCGCTCCAAGAGACAGCCATGAAATTTGGATCTTGGATCGATGGGAAGAAAGGTGAGCAGGAGTGCGTGACTCATTGAGCTGCATCCGCCGCGAGAAAGCCCTGCTTATCTCGCAGATGTGAGTAGAAGACGATTTGGGGGACTCATTTGCTGATCTGTCACTCCGTGCCGCATGTCCGTGCGCGTCAGCAGCAGCAGCAGCAGCAGCAGTTCCCCCGATGAGCGACAGGCCTGTAGGGCACCTCTACGGCCGTGACGTGTATGCGTTTGGCGATGGCGGCTACGCGTTCGAGGCCAAAGGGGATCTGCGCCCTCTGCGCAAAGAGGACTGCAAGGCCGTCAGCCTATTCGCCAATTATTCGCCGACGTCCAAAGGTACAGTCTGCCTGCCTGCCTGACTGTCTGTGAGTTCTCTCTGTGTGTGTGGCTTGTGTGGTCAGTGAGGATACCGACGGCTTCATCCAGCTGCCATCCGGTGTCCGCTACCGCATCGTTCAGCGCGGTGATGGCCAAGCGCCTACACTCAACCAGACCGTCCGCATAGACAACCTCGTGTGGCAGGGCGACGGCGAGGGCTTCAACGACCGCTCGCGGCCGCGCTATCGCGAGGTGGATGAGCGCATTGACGACAGCATGCCTGAGTGGCGTCGGGAGGCGCTGCTGAGCATGAAGGTGGGGGAGGTCCGGCGGCTGATTGTGCCGGCCACGGTGGAGGACGGCCGCCGCCGACATGAGCTGCGGCTGTGGGCTATTGTCAACGAGCGTTGATGCCCAGGCGGCTTTTCTTCATTGTTTTTTCTTTTTCTTTTTTGTCGTCGGCTGGGGGCAGCGCTGCCCTCTTGTCTGTGGATGTATGCTTGATGGTCTCTACCTAGCGAGGAAGGGGTGGATGCACAACCGATATGTGAGAAAAAAGAAAGGAGAGCGTGATGTGGATGGCTGTCTGCGTCAGAGTAGTGTATCTTTGTGGGGTTCTCTCTCCGTGTGCGGGCCGCCTCTGCTGTCCTCGAGCACATCACTCACTCACACATACAAGGAGCTGTGAGCTCTCGGGCAGCAGATTCGACAGCGCATGGAGGGAAAGACTGCGCAGGATAGATAGCTGTGGCTGCTGTTCAATTAGCAAGACAGGCAGTTTTCCGTGGTTTCTCGTGTGTGAGTGTTTCTTGCCTGCGTAGTACGTCGCTGGCCTTTCGGACAAAGGACATAGTGCATGTGTGTGATGTCACGTTGGGCTGTCAAGCAGACGGTTTCGAATTGAGATGAAATATACCGGTGTGTTGTCACGTCACATCTGCAGCATGGATGTCATGGTCAGGCAGAGGAGGTCTTCCATCATCACTGACCCCTTCTGCTCTGTGTTCCCCTCCCACATTCCCTCCCACATTCCCCCCCTCCCTCCCTCCCTCCCTATCACATCACACATCGATGCACCTTCCCCACTTCACTCACTCCTTTCCGGCTTCCTGTCGCATCTTCTGTTCTGGAGAAGAAGTAGTCATGGGTGTATGTATGGTGCGCATAGATTACACATCAACAAGGATCCAATCAGGGCAGCTAGTGCAGACCAGCGGCCGCTGGGCCTGCATGTCTGTCTGTCTGTCTGAGTTAAAAAGAAAAGTCAGACAGACAGACAGACATGCAGGCGCCAGCAACGTCAGCTGGCTGTGTACAGCAGGGACATGTTCCCAAATCGGGAAGATGGGGTGGTGTTCAAAACGGAATAAAAAGATACCACGCTCCCAATCGGGAAGCATCACCACAGCTACAGTAGCAAGAGACATCCACCCATCTAGACGTGTACACAACTCACACCTGCGCTGCGCCCCACCACAGGAGTGTGTGCGTTGTGTTATTGGCTAGGCTACACGAGAGAGACTGTGGGGTTTAAACGAGACAGGCACCACAGTTCATTCCCAGCTGGCAGGGAAGCAAACAAACAAACAAACAAACAGGCATCGGTTGGACAGACACACACGTCTACGGACACGCATCCATCTCCAGAACAACACCCCCCAGCAGCACTCTCGGCACCGGTTTCACCATCCCCTTGCCCGCGATCACCGACTCCACCTTCATGGAGCGGCCCGCCATAGTCTCTGCACTGGGGCTGAGCACCGGTGTTGCAGTATCCCCGACAGGTGACAGCTTGTCACCACTGGCAGCAGCAGCAGCAGAGATGTACAGGCCGCGGGAAAAACGACAAGGACGAGTTGGACATGAGCGACTGCCGGCGGCTGATCTCGGAGGGCAAGCGTGTGGTGGCCAGGGAATGGTGCAACGCGTACCTGCGCACACAGACAGAGACACTCCTGTGGATGGGAGTGTGTGAGGGGGGGACTGTCTGCCTACTGTGCAAGGACGCTGTGAAGGCAGGAGAGCTCGTTGACAGAGAACCAAGGGTGCTGCTGCCCAGCCACCGGACTCTCCGTCGCCACAGAGCGGCCCTTGTTGATGAGCGGCGCCCGGAACGACAGCAGGATCTTATCGACGTCCGCGTGTTCGGCGTCGTCATTCCCCGCACCCATGCCGTCTTCCTGCTCGTCTCCAACGTTGTACGCCAGCTTGGCACATGCCTTCGGAGATTCTCGCAGGTCCGAGAGAGCGTCACACAGGACGGCACATAAGCGCTCGAAGTCGCCCACTGACCAACACAGAACAGACGGGGGATGTTCGTGTTCGTGTGGCGTGACGTGGCTGAATGCTTCTCCGCTGACATGATATGCGCGCGTCGATGTTGGCACGACTCAGCTTGTCAACCTCGTGGAAGCTGTCCATCGGGCGTCTCACGGCGAACACGAGCAGCTTCGCGAGGAAGGTCTCGAGCTTGCAGGAGGCGTCCTTCAAGGCCTCGTGCACACCCGGCAGCTCCGTCTCAACCTCTCTGGCCACCCGCTTGAGCACGGCCGCGTACGTGTGGGGGTTGAGGAACAAATCGTGAAGGTTCTCCTGTACACACGGACACAGAAGAAACACAGGGATGGGATGGACGGACCGCCCAAGGGGGGAGCCTCAGGGAAGTGCAGTCCTTTTCTTCCACACACCTTGAGGCACAGGTAGTGTCTCAGCTCAGGGGCGTGTTCGTCCCCCTCTTCGCCGGCCTGTGTGGGGCTCTCAGGTTTGGTCTTCGCCAGAGGGGGACCTGGTGAGTCCAGCAGCTTCCGTGAGCGCAGAGGCGAGGACGGAGAGCGTGAGAGAGGGGCGCAGAAGTGCAAGGGCATCTTCTCGATGTGAGGAGGAAGGCACATGGTCGTTTCGGCCCGCCTCGCCTTATTTGCCGACGCGAATACATACTTGCCAACGCTGACCTGCCATCGGCAACGGCCGAATATCCAGATCACACACGGCTCCCCTTGTGCGCCCCTGCGGCTCGCAAAATTTGGTGACTTTCGATGACTTTTGATGATGACGGCGTCGTTCCCGGGCTATACTGCCCCTCCTCGTCCATTTGGTGACATTTCTTCCCATCATGCAGCCACAAACGTCGCCGCGTGTGTACGAGTGCAGCCAGCCCACTCAGGTACGCCTGTGTGCGCGCAGCGACGACATGGTGTGTGTTGTCTGTGGTTTGTTGTGGTCAGCAATACGAGATCCCAGATGTGCCCGAGGAGGAGCCGCCTGCAAATCCTATGCTCTCCGCCCACGATGTGGTGGCGAAACTGGTACGCACAGATCAGACAGATCATACTTATCAAACGCCCACCCAGACTGGTCCTTCTGCTGTGTGGTGTCAGGAGAAGCTTGACCTCAACGATAGCTACGGCGCGTACGAGTGGCGTTCGAGCGTGCTTCACGAGGACCAGTCCGACGAGGCGGCCATCGCCATCGGACGGGCGGCGCAGTGCGACCTCCGCATCAGCGACAACCGCGTGTCGGGTACGCCAATAGGGGAGAGCAGTCACTGCTTGCACAACCGCAGTAGTGGATGGATGGATGTGTGTGTGTGTGGTTTGGTTTGGTTTGGTTTGGTTGGTGCCAGGTTGCCATGTGAGGATTCGGTGGAATAGGGGCCTGCGGCAGTTCCACATATGCGACTCCTCGTCCAACGGCACATGTGTGTGACGTGATGCGAGGAGGACTCTGCACCTGCACCCCACTCCCCTCACTCCACTCTGTATACTGACTGATTGGTCGGTCAGGGGTGGACAATGGTCGGCAGTGTGAGTCTGGCGAGAGGTTTGTGAGGCTCCCGAAGGGCCAGTGGATGCCGCTCAAACACAACCAGTGCATCAGCCTCGTGGTAGGTGCTGGCTTGCCATGCCGTCAATACACACATCCGTATGTTGTGGCGTGGTGTGATTTGGTGTGATTTGGTGTGGTGTCTGTGCAGGTGCCCTTCCCTGAGTACGACCGGGGCGTCTGGGATGCCGGTACACACACACACAGACACGCACACACGCGCATTCACTTACGCGAAGCCTCTGTGGTGGATGGATGGGTGCATTGGTGCTCGTGTGATGTGGTGCTGTGGTGGCTGGTGTAGAGTGCAAGATTCTGGAGGCAAAGAAGAAGGAGGACAAGAGCATCAACAGGCGCGCCACTCCCTGTAAGCTCACCGGCCAGACAGACACACAGGCAGGCAGGCAGTCAGGCAGACAGGCAGCCGCGTATGTATGTGTGTGTGTGTGTGTGTGCCAATGTATACCACCCCATCAGTCATCGGCGCGTGGCAGTTTGTGCTCAAGGAGCAGTTGCAGGCCTACAGCTCCGCCATGGGGGTAACTCACTCACCGAGGCCACGCCACACACCCACACCCACACCCACACCCACAGCCCAGTGTGTCTATGCGCGGTGCGGATACACTCAGGACAAGATCAATGACAAGTACGACAAGAAGTGTCCCATCGGCAGCGGCAACTTCTCGCAGGTCTACCTCGCATTCAGAAAGAAAGATGGACTCAAGTACGCCCGCCACCTCTCACCTAACACACCCACACCGCACCCCCACACACACAGACACCCACCCATGGTCTACCCGCCGCTTGTCTTGTGTGCAGGGTTGCCATCAAGGCCATCGACACGAAGCGCTTCGAAAAGTTCAGAGCCAAGAAGAAATCCAACCTCGACATAGAATCGGAAGTGCTGGTAAGGCAGGCCCGGCCCACAAACGTACACTTCCTCACACCACACGGCTCCCTCCATCCACCACCCATTGAATGTCTAATGCATCCATCAGACGCTGTCGAGTCTGAAGCACGAGAACATTCTCAAGTTCATCGAGTGTGTGCGCGAGGAGGACATTATCTACCTCGTCACGGAAATGTGCGTGCACACACGCATGCAGCCAGACAGGCAGACAGCCAGCGCACATACGTGACGCCTTGGTCTCGTGTGTCGTTTTGCTTTTGTGCTTGGCAGTCTTGACGGCGGCGACTTGTTGGAGTATTGCCTAGCCCATGAGCGTGTCGAGGTAAGAGACAGACAGGGAGGGAGGGAGGGAGGGAGGGAAGGAGGGAAAGGCGAGCGGCCGGCCAATCAACCACGCCTCTCTCTCGCTGTGTGTGTGTGTGTGTGTGTGTGTGCAGGAGGAGCTGGCCAAGTTGTGGTTCAAAGGCATCGCAGAGGGGGTCAAGTACCTCCACACCAAGGGCATCGTCCACAGAGACCTCAAGGTCACCTCACCTCACCCACAGCACAGCACCGCACAGGACAGCAAGGACCACAGGACAGCAAGGACCGCTCTCTCTTCAATCTGGCTGTCGTATGCATGTGTGTGTGTGTCAGCCCGAGAACATTTTGTTGACGGACAAGACCATCTTTGGCGTTCCCAAGATTGCCGACTTCGGCCTGGCCACGTAAGCAACCCACGCCACCGAACCTAACCCAGAGGCGCACTGCACAGGAGGGGTGTGTGGTGTGTGTGTGCGTGCGGGTCAGGGTGAGGCAAGCCGAGTCGTCCTTGAAGACCCTCTGCGGCACGCCGCACTACTATGGTACGTGTGTGGGGTGTGTGGGGGGTGTGGGGTGTGTGCGTATGTGTAGGTTTGTGTGTGTCACCTCCTGTCTGTCTGATGCGATGCGACGCAGCCCCTGAGCTGATTGACACGCAGAAGAAGAGGGTGGACGGCTACGGTCCTGAGGTGGACATTTGGTCGCTGGGGTGCATCCTCTACATCATGTATGTGTGTCAGCACCGTCACTAGCACACACAGAGAGAGAGCCAGCTGTATCCCCCTCTCTCTCTCTCTCTCTGTGTGTGTGTGTGTGTGTGTGTGTGCCAGGTTGTCGGGCAATCCTCCTTTTGAGGACGATGGCCTCTACTGGCAGATCCAGAATGCCATATACACCGTCGACGGTGGTGTATGGGATCACATCTCAGAAGAAGGTCCGTTCGGGGTTTTGTTTTGTGGGTGGTGGGTGGCTGGGGAGAGGGCGACACTCACACACTGTGGGCCTCTGTCTGTCTGTGTGCAGGCAAGGACCTGGTGACCAAGATGATGTGCGTCGACCCCAAGCAGCGCATCACCATCGACGCCATCCTCTCGCACCCCTGGGTCCTCTCAGCCACCGACGCCATGAACCACCTCCTCAACCTGCGCCCACCACACACACACCCCTCCTACACCCGCCCCAACGACTATGACCCCTTCCCCTCCCCCCGACCACCACAGCTTCAGCCCCCCGCCAAGCGTCCCGCCCCCGCACCACCAAACAATGACATGCCGCCCCCTCCAGTGCCCTTCGCACTACGAGCAGCGGCAGCAGCAGATGGCGGCCGGACCGACAACACGGAGCGGGACGTGTCGACGGCCGAGTCGTCGGGCAATGCCGGCAGGGCCAAGCGCCGCAAACAGGGGGAGAGTGAGGGCGCGTCATCGGCGGCGGCTGCCGCTGCTGCTGCTGCTGGGGGTGGTGGTGGTGGTGGGGAGGGAGAGGGGCCAAACGAGAAGGCGTGAAGAGGGCTCTGTGTGTGGAGTGGGTGACGAGACAAGGCGCCGGTGGGTGTATGTATGGTTCATGGGAGAGTTTTGTATGTCTGCCTGTCTGCCTGCCTGCCTGCCTGCCTGGATCGATGCATTTGTGAGTGGTGTGACTGCCGCGAGTGAGTGCCCTTTTTTTATATGCATACGCGTATCGATCTGCCATATCAGACAGACTGAGGGAGGAGGCAATGCTGTCGGGTTTTTCACACATCAGTATGGAGGGGAGGAGAGCCTCTGTGTGTATGGGATGGGAGGGAGGGATGGGTGTGTGTGCTGTTTATAGCGAGAGAGGGAGGGGATAGCGCTCTGGCCTGTGAGAGGGCCGTGGACACACAAACAGACGGACAGACTTGAGACGAACGCATCAGTCCTGAGCACCATCCAATTGCACACGTGGCCTTATGGTCTGGTCAAAACGTTCTCGAAGGACGGCCCGTTATTCGGCAGTGTCGCAGCAGTCGCATACACCATGACTCATGTAGCGAGGGAATCACATACACACAGGCAGCGTCCTCACCGACGACTCGACACAAGCCCGCACACACGCACTGAGGCCAAACCGTCGGCAGGCAGACTGGACAACGATACAGACCGTTTCCGATAGTCACCCCACAACCAAACACGTACGTACTCTGCACAACCAAGGGTTGGACGCACACACATCGAACAAGTGTCACGCACGCCGGCCCCCACGACCGTCGTCAGCAGCACACTCGCACACACACGACGCAGCGAGGCAGAGAGGCAGGCAGAGAGAAAGAAACATTCGATAGAAATATGCCCCTCACCCCCCCGAACCCCCTCCCGGCCCCTCATTCCCACATTCCCACTCAGGTGCGTTTGTTGTACTGTCTGTCTTATCCCTTGCGGCGGCGGCGGTCCCTCATGAGGTCTTTCATTTTTGATCTGATCTGGGTGGCCTGGTTGCGGGCATAGTCCTGTATGGTCTTGTCCTTCTTGTCTGTGCTGGTGTTGGGGTCCTCCTGCCATTTCTTGCACGCAGCCTCGAGCTCCTGCAGGGCGCGCGGCGCCGCTGGCTGCACCCAAATCTCGTCGATGATCTCCTGGCCAGACTTCCCCTTCTGCAGGGAGGCAGGCCAGGGAGGAGACACACCAACACCACATCACAGCACATCACAGCACATTTGGGTGGATGAGTGCACACGCAGGGCTTACGTTGAATTTGCGTCTGATCTCTTCGCCGGCCTCCTCGTATCTCTCCTCGGCGATGAGCTCCATGATAGGCAACATGGCGGCCTGCTCCGATGGCGTCCGCAGTTCCATCCAATCCACCACACGGTCCTGCACGCAGTCACGCACACACGTGAGACGGACCGGCTGGCTATTCATCTCTCAGCTGTGCGTTACCACTACTGAGGGCCTTGTGCCTGTCCTCTGCAGCGCCATCCTGCTGCGGCGCAGCAGGCGACCCACCATCAGGCACCTCCACGCTGTCATCCACCTGCAAATGCCAATCTTGTGTGAGCAACTGGTGTGACGAATGCGTCAGCAGGCTGACCATGCTATCCGTGCGTCCGGCCTCGTGCTCCTCGCCGCCGTCGTCCTCCTCTTCGCCAACACCCAACACCTGCGCCCACACACAGACACACAGGGCGTGTGAGAGTGGCTTGGGAGGGGCATCCATCTCTCGCTCGCCCACCCCCCCGCCCCCCAACAGACCCACCTCCTTCTCTGCTATGCGGTCCTGCAGGGCCTTCTGCACCGAGGCTGACAACTCGTGGTTCGACACCTGATGGCATGCATACCATGGATGGATGGACACAGAAGGACACAAACCGACAATGGAGGGCACGGCTCATGTGTGTCTTCATTGACTAATGGCCCACTCACCGGGCTGATGTCCTGCGGCTCGATGTCGGCCTGCGCGTAGACGTCACGACGGGACTGATAAAGACGTCAATGATTGATCCATCATCGCGTGTCTGTGTGCGTCTGTGTATGTATGTGTGCATCTAGTCACTTTTTTGTTGCATTCGGCTTCCTCCTTCTGCTCTATGGCCCGTTTGCTCCCAACACCATTGACACCAACACTGCCACCGGCAACACCTGCAACATACTCACACACACAGCCACACACACGCATAGAGAGAGAGATGGGTGGCTGCCGTCCAGGGAGCACAGAATATGTACCGTTGAGGGAGAGATGGTGACTTTGGTGTGATGCACCTTGTCCCAGCGGTCGTGGACGGTGGTGAGGTGCCCCTCCATGATGGTGGCCGTGCGATGCTGGCCGATCTCGCCATACGCCCTCTCCCATCGGTCCTCTTCACTGGGATCGTGCACCAGGAGCTTGTACTCGATCTGGCCGCTATCGGGGACCGGCTGGATGGCGATGGGCTCGCTACTCCAAATGGGCACTGTGGCGGCACACGTGGTGAGCGGCAGGGCCTTCGCGGCGTTGAAATCCGGCCCGCCCAAGTTGTCATAGTTACCGCACACGCGCACCTCCTGCCCCCAGCCGCATATGTCGGTGGGCACCTCGGCGACGAACCGCACAGCTGCGCCGTGCCCACCAACAGACTGCAAACAACAAAGGAGAGAAAGAAAGAAGGATGGATGCACCCGTTTCGTCGCGCGAATTCTTGCGGCCTCACCTCCATCTGCGATGCCCGCCGACTACTGCTAATCTGCACTGCAATGCATCACCTCTTTTCTTCTGGAAGGAAAGCTCCAAATCACGGTTTTCCGGTTCCCTAGCCGCGGGCAAATTCGTGACGAGATTTTCTCGATGGGGGCGACTAACCGCCATCGATGATGGATTCCTTCAGTTTTTCCGCCCTCGCCCCCATTCCCACTACCCCCGCCCACATCTCCTCCGACTCTTCGTCTTTAGGGCTCGCCCTCGTCTGGCGTGGCTCGCCTCAGCCCCTCCCACGCCTCCCAACTCGACGCGTCGTCCGCCGCTGTTTCTCCCAACCCGCCCTCTGTGGGACAACTGGCGTCTGCCTGTCAGCCAACTGTCAGCCGCTGAGCTCACGAGGCTCTTCGTCATTACAAGAATCCTCTATCATGATATGACGTCTTGTGTCATTTGTGGCTTGTGTCAGCCGGCGCGATCGATCGAGGCATTCCGTATACGAGTGCATCGTCTCGTGACGCCCATTTGATGGCCCGCCACAGCGTGGCGCCGCCCTTGTGCCGTGCGGCTCGTGCGAGAAGAATTTGTGGTCTATCTTGTCAACGCCCGTCTCCTTTCCCGACAGAGTCCTCAATCAGCCAAGCTGGTAAGAGGGTAAGTGATTTTAATCAGCCGGGCTTCACAGTTCCGTCAGCTGTCAACTTGTGGTGTGATGTGTGTGGGGTGTGTGAGATGGTCCATTTGGCTGCCTTTGTTGTGTTTGTGTGTAGATGACATTCCCTTGTATTCTCCTCTGCTGTTTGGTGCGTTCGACTAAAGCACTCAGTACATGATGGCCTACCACTTCAGCCACCACACCGCTGGTGAGAAACGATGGCAGTGCAATGCAAACGCCCACGTGTCCTCATGTGCCTCTGCGCAACTCAACAGGGGAGGTGACGTCCTCCCTCTCGTGGGTGTCAAGCCGGGTATCGAGAAGGAGGACGAGAGGACGACGAAGAAGTGGCAACAGCCGGGTGAGGCGCTGCAGAGGGCGGCACTCTTTTGCTCCCTTGGCCGCGCAAGACAACAGTCAGCACGAATGGCTGCGTCATGTGTAAGCTGATCAGCTTTTGCGCGTGTCTCAGGGCTGTATGTGCAGATCTCCGTCGATCGGCAGGAATCAGCCAGACGAGTCGGCCGATCGCCAGAGGCCGAAGATAGTCGCCACTGTGGGTGTCGTCCACCCCGCTCTGGCAGGAGGCGGACCTCGTCATGCCCTTAATCCCCTCCACTCGCCCGCCCCAGCACCAGGAGACAGCAGCCGGCTGTTCGTGCCAGTGTCCTACTGGGGGGAAGGGGAGGATGGCATCTACGCCAGCTCCCTGACCCAGTGGGACCTGGCCCATTGGGAGCGGAAGGGGGCGTGGTGGCTGGTGGCATGGGAGGCGCCAGAGGCCTCCTGCTGCTGCGTCGAGCTGGGAAGGTCCATGGTGCGGGGGATGCGGAAAGCGAAGGCGTGCGTCGAGGCGGCGGCTGAAGATGTCGGCCGCCGCCTCAAGTCCCTGCTCCATTGAGGGGCGGTCGGCCGTCTCGGGCGCTGTCAGCTGACGGCGTCTGAGATGGTCGGCTGGCCGCACTTCTTTTTCTTTTTCAACCCCGCCCCCCCCATCGCCGGCCCCCTTCCTTCCAAGTACCGGCAGCAGAAGTTCCTCCGCACACTCGCACACAAGCAGCAGAAGACTTAGGCGGCGCAGCAGCAGGCGGCCGCCGCCGCGGCCGAGAGCAAGAAGGACGTGTTTGAGGCGGAGGATGAGGGAGAGGGAGAGGAGATGGCGCTGGCGGCAGCAAGTGTTGGTGGAAGGGGTGGTCCACCGAGTCACCCCAGTGGTCGAGTACCGAAGCCAACTCTCACAAGAAGGTACGTCAGTCACCTGGACACCCCCACACTCTCGACAACACTTGACATCGCTAAACGTTCCGTCGTCCCCTTCAGAGTTGTCTGAGTGGTTGCCCTCTGTGTCGCCCCTCTCGCCCCGCACACGCGCCACCGTCGGCGAGAAGGCCGGGGACATCACCGGCCGCATCACCGCCGACCTGCGCGGCCCCAGCAGGAGTGATGAGTGCGGCTTCGTCGTGCTCAAGCAGGCCCTGCAGGCCTTCAGGCCCATGGAGACGGTCGGCATCGGCCGCACCCTGGACGGCAATCGGATCGAGGTGGCGGGGGTGAGGGTGGGCGCCATGCTCGAGAGACGCACTTCACGAGCCGTGGAAGGCAATGCAGGAGGCACTCACTCATCGCATAAGGTGGATGGGAGAGAGAGCGAACCCCCACCTCAACCATGACGGTCATCTGTTTGTTGATGTGGTGCCATCTTGTGTGTCTGCAGCAGCGAGGGCTCTTAAGGAGCCTGTGCCGATGCAGATAGACCAGCGTGGCCCGCAAGTCACCACCCAAGCCCCGCAGGCGCCGCATAGAGCGGCATAAGGACGACGCCCGCCGCTTGCCAGCTTGATTCCTGGACGACGAAGCAGAGGGCAAAAGTCGCCGGCGATCCTCTCGACCAAAGCGACCCCGCAAAGGTGTGAAAGCGGTGTCACTGGAGGGAGGTGTATCGATTCGATGGCTGCACCATCTCTGTGTGTGTCTTGGGCTGGGTATTGCTGTGTCAGATCCCTCCACGTCACGTGTGATGATAAGGACGCAAAGGAGCAGGAGGGCGAGGGCAGTGGGGGTGAGGGGATGCAATGCAGCTGCGGTCGCGGGAGGGAGAAGAAGCGGTTAAGTGTGCCGGAGATGCTCCACCAACCAGCTGCCCGCACCAAGTGAGAGGACACACACCGATATCCATACCCATCCGCGCAGCGCATTCGTCAAGACGTCAGTCAACCTCTCTGCATGTGTGTCACAGGCAAAACAAGAGCCGCCCCTCTCGCAAGCCCGCTCCACCACAGTCCTGAGCTGCCGTCGGTCGGTCCCCCAACAGATATGTCGCACCCCCGCCGCATACCGGAGGCCAATGCCTATATTCAGCAGCATCTGCATCCCTTCAGCACTGCTGCCTGACTTCGGCCCCAGCCTCTGCCCTCACGACCAAATAGCGTACCCTGCTAAGCACCAGCAGCAGGCGGCACGGCCACACGCATGGCCGATAGGGCCCTTCAGGCCACTTAATGGTGGCGATGCGAGTGGGCGGCCGGCACGGCCCAATCCGAAGATGGAGAGGAACGTGTCGCTGTTTGTGGAGGCCCGCAGGCAAAGCGCCCTCAGCTCCAGCCTCATAGCAATATCAGCACCCCCGGCCGACAGGCCCTTGGCGCTGCCCAAGTCGCCATCAGGTGCGACGGGGTCCGATGGCGCAGTGCAGCACTCCCGCCGTGCCGTCAGGCTTCCCCCCGCCCTCCACGGTTTGCCTCGATCCACCCCGCTTAACCAGACAGGACATTGCCCAGCGGCAGTCGCGGCACTGTGCAGCTCAGCAAGGACCTCGAGGACGTGCCCGCCAAGATCCTCTCGCCACAGAATCACGGCGGCGGGTGGGACGAGCTCACGACCATCGAGGACCCAGCGGCACGTGTGTCGGCGGCGACGTGGTTGGTGTAGCTGTGCGAGATCAGTCGAGTCAACCGGCTGCTGGCCGATCTCGACACATCGGTAGGACCTCTACACCCTGCCGTGAGTCATAGCACACACACAGCACAGCACAGCACAGCATAGCAGACATGCATGTCTGCTATGACGGGCTTCTTTTTCTCTGTGTTTATAATGTCTCCTTCATTTCCGTGCCGGTGTGTGTCTGCAGGTGTCTTTCATCCGTGCCTACATTTTACATCCGGACGACTCTTTTGCTCCCTTCATCAGTATGGCTGCGTCATGTGTAAGCGCTCACTAACGCGTCGAGTGTGATCACCCGTCAAGTCGACTTACTTTCTGCTTGAGGGCCTGCTTGAGTCAATTGTCTGCCAGAGAGCCTGTTGGATGACCAGGCAGCCAAGCAGTCAGCGTGGCGGCCTTACTAATGGGAGGACAGCCCCAGCCCAGTCCAGTCCAGCCGGAGGGAGAGAGGCAGACAGCGCACCGCACCTTCTTCGTCTCTTTCTCGTCACCAGGTCTGCATGTGAGTGAGGCGGTCTGCTTGCCTGCAGGGCCTGCAGGTTACCCCCCGTTTTAGGGCAGTCGGTCGGTGTCTGTTGTCCTGATGATGATATCTGGTTGGCAGTTCGTGTGTGTGGAACTGTGCCGGCCGGTCACACATCACATCGCTGCTTACATTTTATATCCGTGAGAGTGTTTGGTTCCCTCCCAGTGGCGTGGACTGCCGTGACCGATCGCGACTCAGATGAGATCGCCAGTGAGATCGACTTTTCCTTTGATGAACGCACACATGCCCACCAGGACGGTCAGGGTTGCGGAGATGACGCCTGCGCTTCCGGTGCTGAAACATCCCAAGTCTGCGGGCTTAGCCGGAGACGGCCAGCTTCGTTGTAAATGCTGCCACTGCCATCCAACGACAGAACCGCCCAAAGCACACAGACATGCACACAGCGAGTGCGTCCGCCACGGCCACGCATAAGTGCATCCAAAACACACAGATACATCCGTGCTCAGTTGCACACACATGACATCCCTGCAGCCATTAACACCCACGCACCCACACACTAGGCAACCTAAGGCAAGTACCCACACAGATACAAACGCCTGTTTGCCGAGGAAGGAGCGCTGCCAAGGGGTGATGGTGGGTGAGTAGTGAAGAGAGGCTCAGTCGTCAATCCACTTAAGCTTGTCCACGTGTGATGGCCGCTGCGGCGGAGTCTATCAAAGTGAACCAGGACAGTCGTCCGTGAAGTCGATGTGCGTGCGGCGCCACCATGCTGCACTCCGACTGTACCAAAATCAGTCGGCAAGTGCGCTTGCGGCGCACACATCTGCGGTGCGGCAAGGGCAGTGAGGGCTTACGTCTACCAGCCAGTGTGAATAAATGGCTATACATATGTGTGTGCGGCGCAATTGATGCAACAGACACACCAAATGAATACAGCAAGTAGCTGGCTACAGGTAGGTGTAGTGGTGTCGGTGCGCCAGTCGGACATGTACACACCGACACGCCACTAGCACTGATCACGCAATAATCATCTGAATCAAGTTACTATGCCATGGGCAACCCCACGCAGCTTTGCTCATCCCTCGTGTGCCATATCTCATCGATGAGTGCTCTCACCTGAGTGCTCCGCCACGGTGACCGCTCTCGCCGACCTGCACACACACACACACACACACACACGCCGACAGACAGAGAGACAGACTGACAGACTGACAGACACAGACGAACGCAACGAGCTCTACTGCATCAGGAGATGCACACATAGCAGCAAGATGATGGATGGATGGATGGGTGCGATCAAGTTCAGCAAATCAGCAGCAGCATGGGGTGGGCTCGTCTTGTGTCCAGCAGGGGCACAAGAGAAACCCCGCGTGCATACACTCGCGGTGCGCAGGGTGGTGCGTGGAGACTGCCTGCCTGGGTGCGATGGCTGCCTGTGCTGTCCGGGAGCTAGTGAGTACAGCCTTGCACACACACACACATGCACGCATACACGATGGCCATCGAGCGATGCTGCAGCAGGGGGTGAGGGGGGCTTCTCCCTCCTGTGTGTGGCAGAAGCAGCCAGACGCGGAGGGCATGCGCTGCCGGAGGGGCAAAACACCTGCCTGCCATTCCGCATTGAGCCGGGTTGTCTGTAGAACGAGTATGATGCCTGCGTGGCTGCCTGCCTGCCTGATAGGGAGTAGTGCTCCTTGCACACACACACACCAGAACACACGAGCAGCCCCTGCACTGCATGAGAAGTCGGGCATGAGTGCATACAAACACACAGCTAATGGGGTCAGTGATGATATGCTGGTGTCGGCAAAACCCGCAACAGCACCGACGGGATGGACGGCAAAGTGACTGCGGACAGTGCGGACAGCGCGCTGTCAGCGGCAGCTATGAAAAATGAGGGACCACACAAACACACACACACACACACACATGAGGCGGCCAAGGACACATACAGAGAGCCAAGTTGTCACGCCAATACTCAAATGGCTGCCGTGCCGCCGACATACTGTACGGTCGGGATGGGAAAAGGAGAGCGATGCCGAGTACGGACGGCTGGTGTCGGCAAAACCCGCAACAAACAGCACCGATGGACGGCAAAGTGAGCCGGATGCGGAGGAAGTGCACTCCCGTAAGGGCAAAACACCTGCGTGCCAACGCGCCCGGTGTGTGGAGCGAGTGTGATGCCTGCGTGGTTGCCTGGCTGCCTGCCTGGGAGGTAGTAAGTGATCCTTACACACACACACGCGGACACGCACATTGACGTACGTACCATCACGAGACAGTCAGTCAGTGAGTGAGTGGGTGGGATCAGATGACTGTCACTAGTGCATATGCATGGCCGGCATGTAACCAGCCAGACAGTCAGTCAGTCAGTCAGTCGTGTCCGTGCCAAGTAAGTAAGTGTATGTGTATGTGTGTGTGTGTCTCTCTGAAGATGAAAGCATCTGGCTGGTCCAAAGCACACAACAAACAAACGGCTGTTCTCCTCTCTCGGTGGACGGGACGCCTGGCTGAGCAGGTCACGTCAGGTCAGCTCAGGTCAGGTCAGAAAAAGAAAGACAGACGGGAAAATTGCATGAGAAGTCATTCACAAAGAAGTCGCGCAACCAGAAAGTGCCCAGCAGAAAATGCCAATATGACATGAAAATCATTCACAAATCAGTCAGTCACGCAACCAGAAAGTACCCACCAGAAAGTACACACACATCTCACGCACTGCACCCAGCCGCACTCACCCAGGCCCCTGACCGACACCACCCTCCACCATCCACCCCTTCACCAACCGACCTCCCGCCCCCGACAAGCACCAACACCACCACCACCACCACCACCAACCGATTGTTTCGGTCAACGAGAGCACCGCCGACGCACATAAGAAGTAGACAGACGGGGAGTAGACAGCGACACACCACACCCACCCACACGAACGAAAAGGGAGTGTCCGCACCCTACGGAGGGACGAAAAGAATACCACAAAGGAAAAGGCAACGTGTAGGGCTGCTGACTCAAAAGCAATGCAATACAATACAATACAAAAACAAAAAACAGCCATCCTCCCCCGTCTGTCTACATATGGGGGCGCGGGGGCCTCTTCTCGTGGTGGCGGTGGGTGGTGGGTGGGGTGCTTCTCGTCGGCGGAGAGGGTCCCATGCGAAGCCGTCATTCAGCCGCACTGTGATTCGTCCTCCCGTTGCTCGACGGATGACGAACCCTCCTGAGCCGTCCAGGTCGTACATATCGATGTTATTCGCTCGCACACTTGCCGCACGCCACAGTGACTGACGCTCTCTGCCTGCCAGCTGCGGAGCGACTGGATGCTGCGCCGGGCAGGCTGCCCTAGGTGTCTTGCAGGTGGCACCTGTCGGTGGAGTAGAGGGAGGGCCACGGCCGCCTTGAGTCAAGGCAGATGGTTGGTGAGTCTGTGAGGGGGGCGGCACAGCAGACAGACAGACAGACGGGCAGGAGAAGCCGGGAACACCGGGCAGCGGCGATAAATCTAGACAGAAAGAAGCGACCAAGGACAGACAAAGCGTGATATGTGCACGAGTAGCTCTCCGGTTGTCCTCTGTTCTCACCTCCCAGAAGGCGATCTTGAATCCACACGTCGCAGCGCCCCCCACAGCATCGCATCCTCCTGCCAGCTGCCGCATCGCCCGCTCGAAGAGCGTGTCCAGCATGATCCCATTCAGCGTCACTGCTCGTCAGTCACTCAGGTCCTCCCCCTACACATACACGTGGCACATCACTGGATGAGTGGGAGTGGTGAGTGGGCAGACGGGGGCGTGTGGGTACCTTACCTTGGTGGTTTTGATGGCGGTCTTCGCCACGGGAGGGTGCCGACGCCTGTCTCTGAGCCATCATGCGCATGAAGGCGGCCTCCACCGCCTTGAATTGGCTGCCTCGGGGTTCACACGACTCTCAGAGGGTGGGTCACACGCGACCTGAACGCATTCATAAACACATCGCACACACAGACAGACAGATGCACCCGTCCGTTCATCCAAGATGCAGGTAGGTTTGTCTTTCTGTCTGTCTGTGCGTGCTGTGGTTCACTTACTAGGGATGGAGTGGTGGCCAAGAAGGGCTGCCGTCCAGCCGAACCCTGAAGGCACGCACTCCCGGAGGAATGACTTGCCGATGAAGGCACGCAATCCCGGAGGAATGACTTGCCCGAGCCAGCCAGACAGACAGCCAATCGCCTCTGCCAAGGCATACACACACACGAGACACACACGTGAGCCATTGCCTGGTGCCTCCAGTCTCCCTCACGTACCCTCTGAAGGTCGCCTGTATCAACCGTCGCGGACCCCGTTCTTTGATGAGCATGGCCCCTGCTGCCTCTCTCCCTCTCCCGCTGCTTAACGGTAGAGAGGAAGCTGATGGGCAGATCCTGAATGGTCGAGGTGTGGCTGAACGTCACACTCCCATCACGGGCCTGCACACCACACACACCATAGACACACCCACACTACTGTATTCCTGGCCTCCTCTGTGTGTGAGGGAGTGTGCTGACCATGGCGGCTCTGTAGTTTGGTGCAAGTATCTCCAGCAGATACCTCCGCCGCACACTGTCGTCCTCCCCCTTGGCCAGCATTGCGTCCCGGTAGCTCTGCAGCAGGTCAGCCGAGGGTGCGACAGGCAGCTGGGACAGCAGCTGGAAACTCTCGTGCAGCGGCGGGCACAGGTACACATTCGCCGCAGAGCTATCGACCTTCGCCTTGTCAGCCTGGGTGCGGAAATGCCTGCACCACACGTACACACATGGATGGATTGATGGCACACAGGGGTGGTCTGCGTGTGCACACGTACCTGACAAGGGCCCTGAAGCACTCCCCCACCGTGGCCACCACGTCATTGAGGAAGCAGCAGGTGCCCTCCTCCAGGTGTAGATACTCCCACAGCCGCGACCGCAGCACCATGTCCTTACCCCCTCGAACCACTGATGACGAGCTCCCCGCCGCCCCAGCAGCCACAAACCCCTCATTGCCGCTGACATTGGTGAGGTTGGATGGGTCGGTGGTGGGCGGCCTCACCATGACGTGCGCCACCGTCTGGACCAGCTCCTTGTAGAAGTGCACGATGGACACGGGCGAGGGGGAGAACTGTATGCTGGCCGTCCGCAGGAACACCCGCAGCCCCGTGAAGCT